TATATAAAAAGATATATTCAGAAATAGTCTCACTCTCGTATTTATCCCTTCCACCCATTCTCAGTCACTCCATTTGTAAGTATTTTCATTTTCTTCTGCTTTCTTAATACAGAAGCAAGCATACATATCATGTTTATGTATTCTTATTTTCTCTCTGTGTTACCTAGAGGTTGCATACTTTTTACACTCTCATTTTTATTTTTTTTTGTTTTTTATTTTCCCTTTTACTTCTTTTACCCTTTACGCTCATATTCAAGCTTTCAAACAGGAGTCACATACATTTAGGCATTAAAGAAATGACTCACTGCAGATTTTAGTACTCCAAAAAAATAATGTTTTTCTCTGTATCAATTCATTTCTCCCAGCATTTACTTTTGAAAAATTTCAAACCCTCAATTAAGTTGGAAAAGAGTTGTAATGAACAGCTAAATACTCTTCACGTAAATATGGCAATTGTTGGTATTTTGCCTGTCTGTCTGCTCTTTGTCTCTCTCTCTTTCTGTGTCTGTCTGTCTCTCACCACACACACACACACACACACACGCACGCACGCACATACATACACTCACACACACTCAATTATTCCTGAACAATACTATTATATAATTCATAGTCCATGGTCAATTTTTTAAGTGTCTTTTATAGCTTTTATTTCTGATATAGAATCCAATGAGTGAAAACTATCATACTTTGCAATTTATTGTCTGTTATAATCTAGCATTTCATGAAATCTAGAGCACTTTCTAGCCTCTTATTATTTCATATTAATACATTAATACATTTTTAACATTGCAAGATAATCATTTACTAAAATATACCACAATCTATTTTTTTCTGACTGTATCAATTATAATAATCATATATTTCCAAAACCAATATTTTTAAGCCAGAGATTAAGATCATTAAATATGTCAAAATTTAGGAAATTTATGCCAAAATTAGATCAATCAAGCATTGAGTGAATATAAGGCAACTTTGTGCTCTTTTTGGGGGGGCAACTTTGTGTTCTACAATAAATTCTGAGAACAAAATTCAATGTATAAAGTGTCAAAATTGTATGACCGAGAATCCTGGGTAATAGGTGGATTACTTAAGAGCTTTATACTAAATTTTTATATTTATAACTGGATCACCCTTAACATATGTAAGTTTAAATGTTGTGCATTCACCTTTAGTCCCCATCTTCTGGGATTATTTTGTACAACAGTACTCTATTTCTCTTCAGCAATGAAGAAATGACTCTCTAGTTGCTGGGGATGTTACAGGCAGAGTACGTTCAGTTGAAGAGCACCCTTAATGCAAGACAGTGCCCATTTCCTGCAACCAGCCTCCCATGATTGATCATTTGGAAGGTATAATGACACACCTTCTTGCTCGACTTTAGGATCTTCCATATTGTTTCCTGAACCTTCCATTGAGTCTACTGCCAGCTCAGCTCTCCTCCCTACCCCAATCTGTCTCCTCCTCTCCTTAGAATATTCATTCCAAGAATTAATTGCTGTAATAATGCTCTTATAGAAAAATAATCTAATCTGAGGTCATAAATGCACCCAGTTGTCACACTATCTAAAGTCTCTTCCCTGACTTTAATAGTTGTACAGATTATAGGAGATATTTTCTTTTAGAGTATTCCTCAGTTCTGACTTCCCTAATGTTTCCTTGTGATTAGAACAAGGTTACACATTTTGTCAAGTGAATAAAAGAAGTGTTGATGTTTGCTTTTTGTTGGGCTTTATTGATTGGCACTTGAGGTTGATTTGTTCCATTACTGATGGGGATAATTTTATACTTGATCAATATGGTGAGTACCAGATTTCTCTACCTGAAAGTTACTTTTATTATTCTTTTAGCCATTAAGAAGTATATTGGTAGAGATATTTTGTGACTATATAAATATTCCATTCAAATCCACAAATTTATCATTAGTCTTAGCACTCATTTTTCTTTCTTGCCTGAATTATTTATTATGATGATGGATTGCAAATGTTGATTTTTCTGATTTTCATCTTTTTTTTCCAAATACATTAGTTGGCATTCTGCAAGGAAGTTTTTCCACTTCATTGTTCATTTATTTACATCAGCCTAAATTCATGGATTTCTATTATAAATAATCCATTATTATAACAAGGATAGCAACTCCTAGGCTCTCTCACGAGGCAAAAAGTATGTATAAATATATTACAGTGTGAGATTTAGATTCTGCCACTTAGCTGCCTATAACATTTGGCAAATTATGTAAATTCTTAGGCCTTGTTATTCTTATGTAAAAATCACCACCTACAGTTTGGTGCTTTTATGAGAATTAAATGTATTAAGATATGTAAAGCATTTAAACCATGCCTGGAATTTAATAAATGTTGTATATGTATTATCATGTACATACACATAGTTTCTTTCTGCTTCTTCCTATATATAGGAATATTCTTTGTTTATCTTGTCTGGTGCTCTTCATGGAATTCTTATGTCAGAACTCCGTGTAACAATTTATAACTATTATTTTAATAATAATAACAATTAAATAGCATTTACAAGCTGTTTACAACAGAGCAGTTACTGTGTGAAATTCCTTATGTGCATTATTTCGCATCATCCTCAGGACAAGTCTGAGATGTGGTAAAACTATCGCCATTTTACAACTGTGAAAAAGTAGTGACAAAGAAATGTACTCAAGTGGCAGTTCTCATAACTACAGGATATTTGTCTCTTTATGTATAAATAGAAAATATTTTTTCCTGCCTACGTAGTATTTTCCCCAGAAAAGGCAAAGAAACTCCCAGGACATTTAAATATTAGTATCCTTTAATTATTAATATCTGATATGAAACTAAATATATGTTTATGTTTTAGGAATCCTCCTCCTAAAAATGTCTTTCTTTAAATGTTTCCCTGCTCTTCTTTTCTGTTTATCACTTTTTATGTGTGTGATTCTTACTCTACCATATTAGATAATCTAGAGTCTATTCTACACATCTCTTATGTTTTTGTATATTTTTTCTTATTATATTTTTACTCTAAATTTTAGAAGAATTTCTGAATTTGTCCCCCTATCTTACCTCATATTAGTATTTGTCTGCCTTTAATGAATCTTTACATTTGGAAGTCAACTCTTTCATGACAAATACATGTTTTTTCTTTTCAGATTTTGCCATTTGCATGTATGCTTATTATACTTTTCTAAAATTGTGGCTTTTAAGCATTAGTAAGTTAAAAAAAATGTCTGAAAGTGTTGTCCTTGTCTATAATAGAACTATTTCAGAAGCTGGACTCATTCTGAGTCCTCAGATTGATATCCTGATTTGGAATAGCTATTTCCTTTCATATAGTTCTATCCTTAAAAAGATTGATCTATACATACCCAGTACTGAGACTAGAGATTTATGCTACCAGAACTTACATGTGTTCATATGTAAACCTCTCAAACACAGACAACTTAAAGAAAAATATGGAGATTTTCCTCATTTTAGTTTGCCTAATTAGGAATATCAATTATTATCAAGGGAGACAGTGTGGTAGGCAAAGCTAGTTATCTCTAATACCATGTAAAAGACTTCATGCACATGTTCATTGATGCCCTACCTCAGATTCCCTCTGTCTTCTCCCTAAGTGAGATTTTCTTTCTTATACAAAGAATCCTAAGTTATTGCGATGTTCTTTCATCCTAACTTTTTGTAGATAGGTCAGCAAGCAACACTCTCCAGATTCTTATAGGAGATACTTGGTGTCTCAACCATATTCTTTTGCATTAATCACGCACATAATATACATACATTCACACAAAGAAATGGTGGAGATAAATGAATATACATTTCAAAATATGCTTCCAAAGGAGCTTATATTTAATACAAAAATAAATTAGAATTTTTTCCTAAAGAAAAATTGAGTGAATATGTGCAAACATAGAATAACACACATTTTATACTTATCAAATGTGTTCTACTGACTCCTAGGAGTTGATTTTTCTAGGAACATAGAAGTCCAGAGTGGTTATTTGACTTTATCATTGAATTCAACAATGAACTTCATTGTAGTAAAAGTAATTATATAATAAAAATAATAATAACAATGTATTTCTCATATCTTTTCAGAGTATGGGATATTTTACCAAGAACCTGTTTGTTAAAGAAAATCTAGTAGATTCCATGAAAAGGTATGTCTGCCAGTATTATTGTTTTAAATTAAAAACACCATACTCCAGTCAGAACACAAAGAGTTCAAATTAAAAAAAAAATGTTTCATGAAAATGTCATTTCATAAATCAAATGAAGCCTCATCATTTCCTTTTTTCTGACTATGAATGCAGAATATAAATTTGAAACCATGGGGGGACTATTTCATGCCTTAAAATAGAGTCTTAAAAGTTTAAGAAATATTAATGTAAATGAGAAAGTCCAGTTTTCTTAGGCCTCATATTTCAGAATTTCAAACTATTTGCTTTTTATCAAAAGCATCATGAAACTAAGTAATAATATTTTGGCTTTTAGTGGTAAAGCATCTCTTGTATGAAAATGAGAAGAATCCCTCATGGAAAATAATAGGTTTGTGACAGGAGGTAATAGATGGAGAATTCAAGGTTAAGGGAGAATGCTATGATCTGCTGAACGTCAGTACAGTGAAGGTAAAGTTATTTATCTGGAACAGGTCAGAGTTTGTCAATAAAAATTCTATTTCTTGCCATAGAGATTGGTTACAAAAGGTGATTGAAGATTTCATGAGTAAAGCTTTGAGGATGAGACAATTGATTCTCATTAAGGGCCCAAAGAATGGTTCAGATGTGGTGAAACAAAAACAGATCTCTTCATTGCCTCTGAAGCCATGTCTAAAACCAGAAGTCAACAAATTACTCACGTTGGCCCTGCAAATTAGCCAATGACATGACACGTGTTGTGGACGACACCCACTCTGGGAACATATAAAAGGTCTCTGTAGGGAGAAAATGTCCACACTGAAGTGACACTTCTCCTTACCTCCTCTACCCAAGAACAACCTCAACAACCAACACCATGTGTGGCAGCTACTACGGAGGCTCTGGCTACGGAGGCTGCGGTTACGGAGGCTGCGGCTACGGAGGCTGCGGCTACGGAAGCTGCGGTTACGGAGGCCGTGGTTACGGAAGCCGCGGTTACGGAGGCCGCGGCTACGGAGGCTGCGGCTACGGAAGCTGCGGTTACGGAGGCCGCGGTTACGGAAGCTGCGGTTACGGAGGCCGCGGCTACGGAGGCTGCGGCTACGGAGGCCGCGGTTACGGAAGCCGCGGTTACGGAGGCCGCGGCTACGGAGGCCGCGGCTACGGAGGCCGCGGTTACGGAGGCCGCGGTTACGGAGGCTGCGGCTACGGAGGCCAGGGCTGTGGCTATGGCTCCAGCTATGGCTGTGGCTTCCGCAAACTGAGCTGTGGCTCCGGCTATGGCTCCCGCTCTCTCTGTGGCTATGGATGTGGATCTGGCTGTGGCTCTGGCTTTGGCTGCTACTAACCGAGGATGCTGTCGGAGACTCTCACCCTCTACACCTTCACTTAATGACTCAGCAGTTCTGAACCACACAAATTTTTTGCCTTACCCCCAAGTGACATTTATTCTACCCTCCACTGCAAACTTCTGATATGATTTGGTCAAAGTCTAATATCTGGAACTGATACCACTTGATGTCTGGAAGAATATGAAATTCAACCTGTGAACTCATGTTCCTACAAGATGATGTTGGTGTCGTTCTTATTTTTGTAATTTTATGCTAAATTTGCTTCTCTGCTTTCCTAATAAATTTTGAATTTCCTCATAAATGTGAAAGAGAAAGTTTTTTAAAATTAAGTTATTGTGCAGAGTTTGACTTTGCTTTTTTGGGTTACTAATAGGGTAACAATTACTTTTCTTTGGGAAATAATTTTCCTCAGTATTCATCTTGTCTTTGCTGTACTGATTCTAGTATTTGTGACTAAAGAAAAATCTGTGACCTTTGTAAGTCTTAGTTTCTCCTCTGGCAAAGAGAAAGAAAGATATTTTTTTTCTTATAATGATTTTAGCTCTTTATGTGTCTTGCTCAATAGATTTCTACAGTTTCTTAATTGGTACTTCAGGCTGCCTCCAGTCTCAATAGGGACCTAGCATGTTGGGCACAAGTTGACTTCCCTTACGTGGCCAGAGATCTATGAGTGCTGATATTGTCAATAATTTTCATTTATTGTGCTTCGATAGGATATATGGAATTTTGTCAGGTGTGTGCCAAACCTACAATGCAGAAAGCCCTAGATGAATTCTCTCCACTGGAATCCACACAGAGCCCTAGCTTGACCTAAATCTTGTTGCTCACGGGCCCTATCAACCATTCATAGCAGGCAAAGAAAATTGTATTTAGGAATGGAGGGGAAAATAATATAGTTCAGGTTGCCCAATTGCTCTATTCAAAAGATTTAGGATCTGCCATAGATATGGGTTAATATCAATATTTCAGCAAGTTATTTGACACTAATTTTTATGGGTTCATAATAGACAAGAGATATTGCAGCCTGAGAACGTATTACATGAACATAGCTGAATGTATAAAATCTTACCTTCTGCCTTCAGGTTTCTTCTTTAGCTTTGATACATACAACATATTCAATCATGACTTTAAGACAGATATTATAGCGGGATGAAGCTTATCAGGCTAATCTTCTGCTAACAGAAAACTATAACAACAAATAACAGTCTCTCAAGATTTTTAAGAAGATCCTGATAATCACAACATAATATTCAAAATGTCCAAGATACAATATAAAATCATATGGTGTACAAAAGCCTAGTAATTGTGATCAGTTCTTAAGGGGGAAGAAAACTGAGACAGGCCCCACTCTGGCATATATACTAAGATGGCCCACATTTTCCCACCTACTGATACTCACACCCTTGTATTAACCCTCCCACTTCTGTGTGACAGGACCTGTGGCATCTTCTAATCAATAAAGTGTAAAAGGGTAATAGGATCTTACTTCCATGATAATGTTACATAAGACCATAATGTCCATCTTTCTTACATACTTTCTTTGCAGGCTATGATTAAGCATACAGCTATGTTGTGTGCTGTCTAATGGAGGCCCACTTGGGAAGGAATTGAAAGTGGCCTCTGGCCAATAGACAGCAAGAAACTGAGGCCCTAGACACATCTGGATGGCTTAGTCGGTTAAGCATCCAACTCTTGATTTCAGCTCAGGTCTTCCTTCTCTCCTAAGTGACATTTTCTTTCTTATACAAAGAATCCTAAGTTGTGGGGTTTTTGTTTTTTTTTTTTAACAGAGCTTGCACATGGAGGGGGGAGGGGCAGAGGGAGAGGAAGGGAGAGAATCTTAAGCAGGCTCCATACTCAGCGCAGAGCCTGAGGGGAGGGGGACAGGGGATGGGTTAAACAGGTGATGGGTATTAAGGAGAGCACTTGTGATGAGCACTGGGTGTTATATGTAAGTGATGAATCACTAAATTCTACCCCTGAAACTAATATTACACTATATGTTAGCTAACTGGAATTTAAATAAAAACTTGAAATTACAAAAAAAAAAAAAAAGCATGAGAGGTTTGTGGGAGAATGATGGCACTGTTTTATATCTTGATTTTGATGGTTGTCCACAACACTATGCATTTTTCAAAATCCCAGAGCTATACACCAAGGGAGTGAATTTTTCTGTCTGTAATTTAAAAATAAAAGATTAAAAAAAAGATTTGGCGAGGCATGGAACTTTGCAGATGATGGTTTGTGAAGGGAAAAGATATGCAGAATATTTACCATGAGTTAAGCAACAATAAACTAATTGACAAATGCTACCTCATTTAGTCTAAAAACTCCCAGCAGCAGAGACATAATAGAACTAGTGGAGCAACTGAAGCAGAAACAGCAAAAGAATATATGTCAAAAACAGGTAATTGCAACCTTTCTTGGAATTAAGCAAATACAAAAATTTTTTTTAAATAAAATAAATTCTGGGGCACCTGGGTGGCTCAGTGGGTTAAGCCTCCGACTCTTAATTTCAGCTCAGGTCATGATCTCAGGGTCCTGGAATGGAGCCCAAATCAGGCTCCGCACTCAGCCATGAATCTGCTTGAGGATTCTCTCCCCCTCTGCCGCTCCCCCCACTCTTGCTCACACTCTCTCTCAAATAAATAAATCTTTTAAAATAAATAAATACAATAAATTTTATCACTTATGATAAATAGAAAGAAAACCAAGGTTTTTCTTTCAGGTTAGCCAAATTTATTAGGGAACACTGGGAAACAGAATGATGCAGGAAAATTATCAAGGCAGGATCAGTGACTGGTAAAAGGAGGTAATTGGGTTCACAAGATGAATATTGCATTCTGCTTTTCAGGAAGCAAAGGTTGGGAATAAATAACTATGGGATTTAGATAGACAGGGACCACCCCATTCTGCAAATCAGAATTATCCCAACCTAGCGTAGGAACACAAGGACATGGGATTCAAGGCTGGTAAATGATGATGCTACATGTGTGGGAGAAGAAAGTCTCCCATGGCATCCTCAGTAGTAATAGCCAAAGCCAGAGCCACAACCAGAACCACATCCATAGCCACAGCCTCCGTAACCACAGCCTCCCTCGCTGCAGCCTCCGTGGTAGCTGCCACACGTGGTTGTTGGTTATTGAGGTTGTGCTTGGGTAGAGAAGGAGAGGAGAAATGTCACTTTACTGTGGACAATACCCCTGCAGAAACCTTGTATATATCCTTGATGTGGGTGGGATCCACCACACAAGTCAGGCCACTGGCTAATCTTATGACTAATCTAATTAGTTTGTTGTTTCTTAACCATAAGATAAAACCTCAGAGGAATTAAAGAAGTTTGTTTTATTTGGTGACTCAGGACTCCGCCAAAACAATTCAATGTCAATAATGACAGGAGAGAGTCATACATACAAATCCCTGCATTACACCAAATCTCATTTTAACCTCAATAAACATGCAACATTCCAAGAAGTAGCATTTGCAGCAGGCCGATTTTGACTTGCTCTTGGCACAAAATAAAATCTATAGTCTTCTCCCTGTCTTTCCAAAAAGCAATAGCACTCATTTTTGACCAATGAGTCTTGCCTCTACTTTGTTTCAAAACATGTTTTTCCTCTTCAGTGTTTCAGCTGTCTCTCCACCTTTGAAAGGATGCAGCACAGAAAATTGCAATGATTGATCATCTCTGTAACACAATTAACAAAGAGCCAGCTTATTCACATGTCTTGAAGAAGCACTCTGAGCCAACTGCATATCTGTTTTTTTACTTATACAAATTATTGTTTTATTTTTTATGCCTAATTCTTCTTCAGGACACTAAAAACAGTTTATCCTATGGATTGCAGTTTCTGATCAGAACCTACCACCAGAGAGAGTGATAATAATGGATCCCATTTTAGTGAGACTTCTATCAATTGACATTTTCAACTGATACCATTTTTTAACTTTTGAGAAATTTAAGAATTTTTGCCAGTTACATGCTTATGGGCTTTACTATATCTGAAATGTCAGTGCTTCCCTTTTTTTTTTTTTTTTTTTGTAATTCCTCACTGGTCAACAGGGAGATCTGTACACATTTGGAGATATACAATTATCAGCTAATATTCTGACTGAATTTTTTTTACCTTCAGATACTTGATTTTTCCCATTATAGAAAGGAAAGTTCATTTGTAAAGGCATACAATGTTAAATAGGTAATCTATTTTTAATCAGGCACAAGGAACTCTCTTAAATAATCATTGAGTTTTTTTTTTACTTCATTGTTTTCCCAGGATGATAATCCAGGCTCTTAGGAGGTACAGAAAAGCCAAGAGAATTTTGTTATTGTCTGAAAACAACTAGATTTTATGTCTTTGGGAAGATTCAGGAAGGAGGTATGATTATGCACATAAATCCATATCAATGACCAAGGTGGTCACAATACAATGATGTTCTGTGTTTAAAGACTTTTAGTACATATCCCTTCGTATAACCTTAAAGCATAACCAAAGAGTATAAAGATTGGGTTATCCAGTAGGGAAGACTGTTCAAGATTGGAAACCATTTAGACTTCAGTTAACCTTCCTCTGGAATTCAGTAACCAAGATCTTTGTAATTCATTCAGTTCATCTGTTTTGATAAGTAATTCAAATTAGTCAAGGGAAAATAGCCTCTAAATAGAACAGAGCAATGTTTTTATACAAATAATCAGGTTAAACACAATCACTTATCCATTTACCATGCATTTTAATGTATCTTCTATTTATTTTTATTGGTAAGTGTATTTCCACAAACTAGAGACATTATTATGGTTGCATATCATCTCAGTCCCTCCTTCACTGAGATAATAACTGTTGGAATATCTCAATTACATCAGATACTTGTTTCCAAGTATCATACTTTAGATTCCATCAATCAGTTATCATTCAATTGAGAATCATTTTTTATAATGAACACTAGTTGAAATAATGTGATTGTTATTTTTTTTAGACTTAAGTCCTATACATTGAATAAA